AGAGAGCTGAGCCGTCATGCACAGTGAGTCTGATCCTTTGCTGTGAGAGTCTGACAAGCATGTTTCTGGTCAGTTTGGAAGAAATAATATCACAATGTTGATCTTTCTTTCCAATATTCCTTCTCTTTTACAACATAAACTGTGATCAAAGCTACTTATGTTCACAGCATGTAATAATACTGACAGTCCAGGGCATTGTGGTCTGTTGAGCTAGGGTTAGGGTTAGCAATTCAGACATATGTAATCAATATTAAACGTCTCTGACGTGGGCCACTGTCCGCAGTGTTGGGAAATCCATACCAGGCTGGAACGAGTCAAGGTAGGTGAGCATCCACGAGAAGACACAGCAGATGCATCCTACTAATACTGACAGGACCAGGAGACTCCAGAAACCGAGCATCTTCTCTTCAGTGCCATCCTCTCCTGTCACCCTCTCTGCCCGCAGCTCTTTGAGTATGGGGTAGATAAGGGCGCAGAGAAACCCTTATTACTAATTTGTATTATAATTCAATTTTCATGAAATATTCATATTCAGTATTGGTCCTTTTATATTATAACCACGTATCCACCCAGGCTCATGGTGGGGCAGGGCTCTGTCCTGGGATGCTTGAGTACAAGGTAATGTACACCCTGACCAGGTATCCAGTCTGTCAGAATTGTTTTCAATATTTGGTTCAAAAACATGAGTGACAACAAAAATCCAACTAGGATTCTTGCATATGATGAATGAAGTCTGTCTTTGACTGTATTGTCCAGCTGATCCATCAAACCCCCAGCAGGTGAACCTTATTCATGACATAACACGGCAACAATGTAAAAAATGAAACAGCAACAGTCTAAATGTAAAGTGCATTCTAAAGTCCTCTTCAATAAATCATATGCAAAGAGTCATTCAGGACTGTAAAACGTGAACTACAGAACCCAGAGTCTTCATCATTAAATCTCTGGTTGCTTCATTTTTCTATCCTATATCAGACACTTTAAGGTTAGGTTAGGTAAACTTGCATTCTCATGGTGAGGCAAAGTGCTTTATGTGTGTGTGTGCGTGTCATGAACGGCTATAAAAGGCCTATAATTAAAGAACAAAGCGGGGTTTGAGTTCGAGTTGCGGCAGACTGTCACTACTTGTAAATGGAACGCAGCCTTCCTACGGCGGACAGCTAATAACAGGAATCGGACGCGGTCCACCCAAGTCCACAGCAACCACCATAGCAACCGCCTAGCATGACCTTAAAAACATATTCTGTCTTCATAACTATCAAACATGAAATGATTTGCAAAGTGTGAAAGTGTTACAGCTGCAGAGAGCTATGGCGGTATCTTTGGAAGCTGTTTACATAGCTAATAATATACGATGTAACCATGGAGACAGTCAGTCACGTGAGCTAGCAGTGCACGTTTACTACAGTGAATAAGGTGATTGCGTGCACAGCGTCCACACGCTGCAGAGGGTAAAGACATTACTTCAATATTGTTTTATATTGATATATATTTGCCTTCTGTTGACCATCACCTCAGGTTCACCATCACAGTTTCAGCAGACAGATGCACACTGTCTAAATATGAACACATTCAAAAACTCATGTCTCAGAAATAAGCACAGCTGTTCATGTTTGTCATTAGAGTTTTATTTGTAAGAAAATTATGAACTTCATATTGTGCATCAAATAAAAGAACATTTCACAACTCTGAGTCAACAGAAACAGGTAACAGAAATGTCTCTAATGTGTACAGTGTAGTGTAAGCATTAAAAGATCATAAAGGAAACACTAACATTTATGTGAAACTAATTGTAATAAAAAAATGAACAGGTGGTTTATAGATGTAAAAGAAAGAATCTGAAAACAACACTTTTTTGGTCTAAGTGATCAAAGTAGAAAACAGAACTGATGTTCAAGAACAAACCGTAGCTGCACTAATATTACATATCGTTGTACTGAACAGACATGTTGCTTTTAAAACCACATGCAGTGTGTGACCGTGACTGTTCACTGAGACCATGAACGCCACTTCGCTGAAGCCTTCGCCTTCTTCTTCTTCTTCTAAATTGGAAGCAGAAGGAGCACGAGCTGCTTTGATCTACTGAAAGGAAAAAGCAGAACATCTGAGTAGCTGAAATCATTAAGACAGGAACAAATTCAATGCAGTGTCTCAGGTGGCTTAGCCTGTTACAACTGTTGATACAAGCTAAATACGGTTAACACACAGTGTCAGGGAGCTCCAGTGTGGGAACTAGTGGCTTTAGGTTTGTAGTCATTTAACTTTCATCCATTCATTCATTTAATTCAGGAGGAAGAAATGCCAGGTTGGTGCAGGCTGGTTACATGCATTTGGTCCCATGCTGTCTTTAACTAAATGACTTGGTTCACTTTATGGCTGGGCTGTATGTGGGGTTATATCATGTTATTTGGGCAGGAGTTCCTGTCCCCTGTTAGACTTAGAAAGTTTCTCCATAAGTAGAGTTTCTAACTCTTCTAGCACATCTGTGGCTGACAGCTTTTTGGTGGCTCTTTTTACCCCACACTGGTTGTGAGTGTGTAAATAGCCCCACTAGTTCTTTTGGGTTGCAGTTAACTTGGGAGGAAGAGGTAGGTCTGCCATGACTAGATGAATAACAATTATCTGGGATACATAAATTTCATAATGCATGCATGTATCTCTATAAACCTGCCTGAGGGCTGCCATTTTTACATTCAGTTATTTCTTTGTTGAATCTAAATAATGAATGTGTTACAGTTAAACTGACACTGGTCAGTGTAAATGGCTCATTGGGACACAGAAACCTTTAAATTAAACCCGATCACCTGATATCGAGTGTCAAACAATATCAAAGCTGTAAAAGCTGTTTACAGTCAGAATTTATAAAACTATGATTGTAAATAAATTCAAACAAGTGAGCTTTTCTCTTTGTGCTGAATATCAACACTGTGATTTCTTAGACTGTAAGCTTTACTTTAGCACAACCAGTTGTAGAAGCTGCCACTCCAAATGTCTTTGATAACAAGAAAAAAATACCTTTTCAGTCCACGGCCTGAAGTTCTTCTCTGACATCTTCTGCCATCAGCTTTGTCTGCTGGTTTGAAGACAATAAACCACAAAAAGATGATTTAGTCACTTTGTCTGCGTCATGCAGCTCGAATGTGTCGTGTAACGATGTTGAATAGCCGTCGTTATCCCTCTGCTGTGTCAGTAGGATTGTACTGTACAGCATCTCATTGATATGTGAGGAATGCTAATGTAACACGATAACAGACTTACATCATTAAAACATAAAGGACAGGAGATATTTAGATATTTTTATATTTATATTACATTTTATAGCTGACGGATATTACTAAATAGATAGAATTTACTAAATAGCTGGATGAACATGAAAAATATGTCTATAATAACAAATGACCATGAGAGCCAGTAGAATTAATTCAACTGGACACTCAAAAGACGTCCTTAAATGCTCTTTAAGTGGCAGAACAGATGAACAAACAGTTAATCGCTTACTTGAGATGAAATCTGCTCAGCTACTTTGAAAACAGCTTCTAACTGGTTCCTCCTTTAACAGGATGACTGCTCAGGGGTAAGGCCATCATGCAGTCCAGCAACCTTTATGGTTCTGCTTTGATTCACCAGGAACTATTAGGGAAACCTTCCAGCGCCTCCTGTGAAAGACACAGGCATAAACACACAAACATTTATTAACATGTTCCACAGTCTTCCAGTTTGATTTTCTCATCCTGTGGACAACAACGTACATGGATGCAGGTTTATTGTTAACTTTTGTAAGGTTTATTTAGTGAACATATCCAGCTGCAGCTCCACTGTGATCCTGAACTGGATAAGCACTTAAGAAAATGTGTCAATAAATGGACAAACATCAACTTACTATATTTATCCAAACAGACGGGACCAATAATGCTTCACTGAGTTAGAGACTTTAACGTCTCTTCTATGTAAGAATGTCTCGTGCTGATAGACCTGCAAACTTGACAACAAAGGTTTTTCAGACTGCATGTAGCTGTCCTCTATGTCAGCTCACACATTTACATTCATGTCACACTTATTTCTGCTTTCCCATTTTATAATTATTACTTACATTTTGATTAGATACCTTGAGTTTGTAAATGATCAGATTACATAATTGGAATACAATGTATCCAATTCAGGGTTGCGGGAGGATGAAGCCTATCCCAGCTGATACAGGACAAAGACAGGCTGCCAGTTTATTGCAGGGCTAACACGATATGTGTAACAGAAAATCCACTTAAATGTTTGATATTTCTTATAATAATCATAATTATGACTATTATTTAAAGGTTTCTTTATAAATACATTTTGATTTTTTATAACCTCTAAAATATAAACCTGAGCTGTTTCAGATTCTGACCTCTGACCTCACTGCAGCTCCCTCTTGGAAGTACGTCTGCTTCTTGTCTACCCCCAGTGTTGACCGCCTGCCCTTGATATCACGTACTGTACCTGAGGAACGAAAAGGACAAACACTTGCCTTCATTTAAAAGTACATTCATACAGAGGTAATCTATGGAAACACACTAGTTCACCCTTTGGGAGAAATCAGTTCCTGTGAAACATTTCTGTAAATGAACATCATGTGGAGAATGAATCAAATGAGTTCTTCCGGTGACTCAGCAGTCCCACACTGACAAATGAAATCTAGTTAAACTATTAAGCATATTTGCTCTTCTGAAATCTGTGTTAAAAACAACAAACATAAATTAGTAAAAAATACAGCTGAGTAGAGGCTTTACAAACCACCAGCAGCCATAATGCTAAATTTTAATCTTCAAATGTTTCTGAGCCGTCTTCAACCTGCTTTTAACACATTAAAGTCCCACAGTCAATGCAGCCTGACTCAATCCTAAATGTTCAGCACACAGAGACACAGAGGTGCCGTTTAAAGTTTAGTGATAACCTGAGTCACTGATCATTTGCAGTATTACAGAGTCTGGCAGTCTTTGCATGATGTCCACGTCACTGTAAGTTTCTAGCTGACTCTCAGGTGTGACAGGTGTGCCAGCAGGAAAGAGTAATAATAACCTGCATCCTGAGGTTTGTCATGCAGGATTAAAGGAGCCAGGCTTTGTTCACACAGCTAGGATTGTATTTTACACTGACCCTGGGTCAGTATAAGTATCATACAGTTTAAACGAAGCACTGAAACTTGCACATATTTATTACAGATGCACTGAAGCTAATCGAGATATTTGCTGTCAGTCTGTGGCTGCGATTAAACACTTTACTGGAAACTTTATTAACTAGTAACTTCATCAGTCATGACAGAAGCTAATATTTCTGTGCTAACATCGTTTAACCAGTAACAGCTTTACTCCAATATAAGCTAACGTTTACACCGTAACTTTAAGCTAGCACCATAAAGACGGTAAAACACGTAATAACATCTACAAATGCATCTTAAAGCTGTTATATTAGCACTCTGTGTATTACTAACATAACCACATTAACATTACTGACACTCGCTGACTTTTAATAGTCATTCTATAAATGCTGTCCGTTTAAATGGTCTTACCTGTACACACTGCATATCCACCGGATTCCAGCCAGAGTGGATTCTGGAGTCTTCCACGCTCCTGTTAGTGATCCTCCATCTGGATGGATGAGAACAACCTTCTGAACAATCTAGCAGGAGATGGTCCATATCTATGGGACTGATTTGTGCTAATAACGCCCATTGTATGGACTGATAACAGCCGAAGCGGGTGAATAAACCCAGTAGCTAGCTGTGCCATTACCCAGCATACATCACTCCCTCCGTAAATGCAATAAACGATACAAAAGCATCGTTCTACCTGTTTTTCAGGTAGTTGTTTACATTATATAATTTATTGTGTTCTGTATACGTCACTACAATGTGATTTGGAAAATGTCTAAATATACCGACAACAGGCACTTCCGCAGCAATCTCTTCAATCGGAGGACCCTTCACGTCAATTCCCGACGCGAGAGGGGTACCCTGCGCGTCCATAAGTGCAGCAGAGGGAGCCTGACCATGCGTCACACGTTTGACGAGTTGGGAGTGAGAACGTGTTGGCTCTACCGCTACAGCCGCCCCGATCCCGACTGAGGCTCCGGTCACCAGAGCTACTCTGCCCCGCCAGCGCTCCATCAGTAACCTGCTACACGGACGAAAGCACCAAAAGTATGAAGAGAGTGATGAGGAGTCTCAGTGACAGGGAGCGCCAACTGTCTTGTGCCTGTTAACCATCCATCTATAGATATATATATTGGAACGTCTTAAGTCTCGGTGCAGACTTCACGGGACGCCAACGAATGGAACGCATTGACTGATTAACCACTTCATTTCAGCTGAATCACTGGCTACAAAGCAAGTTCTTTATCAAACAAAAGTTATTATCTCAAACTAACATATCATAGTTGTGTCAGCACACTCTCCTTCTATGCACCATACACCGTGACTGCGACAATAAAGACTAAAGTGAGTGAATTTGCAGAAATGGAAAACTTGTGAAGGTCATAAGCATTTCACATTACACAGCTCAACAACAAAGAAGGAAAGAAGGCATTATTTGGTATTACTTTATACCAGAATTGTGACTCCAATAAATCCAAACTTCTGAGGAAGTTGAATTTTGGACCATGAAGGTTGTTTGTTGTTTCTTGTAGTTTTTATTTTTGACGAGGGACAAGCTTCCATAAATAACCCATATAAAATAAAAAACACTACACCAAAAATTGTTACATTTTACACAGAGTCAGGTTTACAGTGTTATAATGGAAGATGAATTGTAACTAACCGGTTTTATTAATGTATTTACAGTAGGATAAACTGGCTGCCCGCCCAGTTTCTTGGTCTCATGTCAGCATGACACAGCAGAATAAACCTCCTTATCATTATTATTATTATTTGTGGCAGTAGTAGTTGGTTTATTTTAAATATGATTTCTGTTTGAGGAAGACTTGTGGAGAAAAGACATGTCGAGTTTGTCTGTAGACTGGTAGACCGACACACATCATGACGGCTAAGCTCTTTCTCTTCTCAGATGCCTCTCTGCATGTTCAGATTTGTGATTTTCTCTTATTTCATGTTTTTTACTGTGACTTATTGAACTTTCATTTTAATTGCATTTTAAACAAGCAGTTCACTCATAATAAGATAACACTGGTATAAACATGGCAATACTGATGTATGGAAATTAAACCATGGCTGGTTGTTAATGAAGAGCACAAATGTCCCAAGAAAACAGACCACTGAAGTTCATCATCATTTTGCATTTCAAAGCTCTGCTTTTACTTCCATTACAATGTTAACCACTAGAGATCGTAGTACAGTCGTGGACAGAATTTCCTGCTCTTTGGTCAAGTCACACTTGAAAGGGCTGGCCAGCACTCTGCTGCCAGTTTTTGAAACCAAACCAGCTCTGCTTTAACTTCCATTATAATGTTAACCACTAGAGGTCGTAGTACAGTCGTGTAAAAAAGACAAAGGCAAAATATGAAACAAAAATATCTAACCAGCTACACAATGTAAATTTACTTTTCACACACCTACTACAGTTTGCAACTTAAAACTCCAACTCCAAAATGTAACTGTAGCTCTTGTTAATAGTTTGCACGAAAAAGCTATGAAAATTATTTCTGATGGAGGATATTCCATATATCCTTTATCCGCCGAAATATCACTGTCTGCTGCATATCACACAAATCAAGAGAGTACTTTTTAGGTTTGACTGAAAGGTTTTCATACCAGTAGCCTCTTCTAAGTGATGTGAAAATGCACACTGTGTGTGTCTAACCAATAAGGTTTTAACCAGTTAACATTGATTTAACTGTAAAAAAACAAAAACAACAACAACAACAAAACAAACCTTTTACTGGTTTAAAACTATCCAACAAGTAAGATTTAATATAATAAGTAGGAAGTTGTCATTAATTAAAATGTTTTCCTGGGTAATCCTGGTTGGTCAACAGCACTTCTGAGCAGATAGCAGGTGAAGCTTTGAGAAGAAGAGTTAACAGCTGGATGAGTTTCTTTCTTTTCAGTCTGCTGTGAATTGACTACAATTTGGCAGAGTTGAGTAGTGAGGCAAATCAATCACACCACTTTAATGTAAAGCTATTATGGGTTCCTGCACTGTAGTTGCCAGGGTAACAAACTCTGCTTCACCTGCGACACACCTTCAAACAGAATGTCTCCAACCTGAAAGAAAAATTAGATGAATTCATTATGAGTAAACATAATAGACATAAAATTTGTCACAATAAAAAAGGTTAACAGTAAGAGAAAATGACCAACCTGAACATGAAGGGGGCACTGAGCACGTATATGACGGCACTGGCAATATCTATTGCTTTCATAGGCTGTCTGAGAAGTAAAAAGTATTTGTATAAAATACAAATATTTTGTATGTGAATAATCATCTTAACAGTACCTTACATGTAGGAATAATACTTTTACCTTATGCTCCTTTATCAGGATATTCCCTGTAGAGCTGTGTTCAAATTCTGTCTCTACAAAGCCTGCATGCAGCTCCTGCCCCAGGCCCTCAGTCAGAGCAGTTTCAGTGTACTTGGTGGCATTGTAGAAAATCATATCAGCAGCAGAAAAAAACTTTATGACCACTTAAGCTGCCACAGAAGAAGATCAGCATTTATCAGCATATTCTGATCAGATCTCAGAACTTAATACGAAAGCCTAATTGACTGAAATTGATTATTTAATATTGCAGTCATATAGTATCTGGTTGAATGATTCAAGAAAATCTGTATCAGGTCTAAAGTCTCAAAAATGTGTATATAATTTATCATCAATTATTTAAGTCTTAAACATGAAGTATGGAACATGAATATTTGGTGCACTGTAATGTCAATTCTCCACAGCCTGTAACGCCATAAAAAACAGGCAGCCACATGGACATCTACAAGGACCCTCACGCTGTCTGACGAAATTCACGTGACTGTGACTGCAGTGGACCTTAGTGGACTCCCGGATGCAAGAAAGTATAATCCCTGCTTAACCCGATTCAACCTTCCAGTTAAGAGGCATGGCCTCAGTCTTTGAAATGTCTTTGTACACTGTTTGCAAAAGTTATCTTCATAATCGTTATCTAAATCGTGATAAAGATTCTATAAAAGATATTTACCTGATGATTATATCTACAGGCTTCACAACCATGTCTGTTACTGTCCATCGGTAATTAAAACTGCAACTGTTTATGTTTATGATGTGCCCATCGTCCACATTTCTTACTTTCATTGACTGATACGCTTCACGTTCACAGAAACTCAATGTAAGAATGCTCACCTGCAAGAGTAGAAAAAAAGAAAACACTGTCTGTAATCAACACCCTCTCTACACTGGCACATGTACTTGTAGCTTCATGTGTCCATGGGAACAATGAAGAGGAAACCATTTTTAGCCACTTTTGTGTAACAGTTTATCTTTCTCATCTATTGTGTTTGTGATGTCTTATTTATTTTAATGAGCTAGGTTGTTGTTCATGTTTTGGCTGTTTTAACACATTCATTTGTAAACCTTCTGAAATAACAACAACTAAGGATCACTAAACTAAAGTGATCATCTGTTTTCAACGCAATGTTCTGCTGGGAAGAAATCCCAGAAACTCCTCCTCGCTGGTCAAGTCACACTTGTTTTGGTGCCATTAGACCATTTAGACCAATTTCTAAATAACCTTTTATAGCAGAAATTTCATTTAAAAAATACCACAATTGCTCCATGCACTAGACAGTAATATTATCTTTGAGAGGTTCCAGTCAGGGCATTAGTCTCAAATGCAATTCACATTTGACACATAAAGTAAAAACTTTTTGTGAGCTCTATAAAGACTTGCCTTCCAGAGGGAACCAGTGTGAAAAGGTGGTGGTTAGGATGAGAAGAGTACTTGATGATGTTTGTGGCCCAAACTGCCGCAGCTTAAATGCAGTATTTGACAAATTTGAGTGAAACTCTTATTTTTCAAATAGGAGGTTCTGTTTCTCTAAAGAACTTCTAACTCAATCATCAGTTTATTTTTCTTTATGCTTTCTCCCTATTGAGTATATAATTCAGAGACACAGTGTATCTATTCATTATTTTTGTTGATGGCACTCAGATATAGCTACCTACCTATTTGGTATTTCATCTGACACTGAATATACACAGTTGTCTTAATGAGTCTCTTTGGGAAGTTCAGCACTGGATGTCAAATATGGTTCTCTGGCTCATCTCTAAAAATTCTTGTCAATAGACCCCAGCTCCTGGATATGCATATTCTGCCCTCTGCTGGTTAAACCTGTTTCTATCCTACAAATGGGATCTGTTTGAATATTTAAAGACAGTGAGGGTAATTTCAATGCTTTTATCTCATCACGCCTCCATTAGTGTCACAACGTTTTTACTTGTCTTAACAAAAAAAATAAAGAAAGAAATAAAGAAAGAGAAAAATTAAGAAAAAAAATCTACTGAAATCCAAATCATTGCATTCCAATTTTACATGACTTTTAATTTAGGCATGATCCCTGTTTTTACAACAGTATACTGGCCTTCATTAAAATCAGTGTGAAGCATACCAACCACAATGATCTGCTTTTCTAATAAATGACTTTCAAATGAAAACTCTGGAGTTCAAAAAACAAGTTTTACAAATTAAATACACTTAGTGTAACTTTGATAAGAGTCGTAAAAAAAAGTTAATGTCCAGCTATCAAATTTCTGTATGGGACTAAAGTCAGAAAAACTATTAAATATTAGCTTTTACATGTAGTATAGGTCTGTTTTATAATAGATATTTTGTTGTTACTGAGTGGTTAAACCAGTATATTTACAATAATAACCTGCCTATATGATGTTAGCCAACAGCAAGTTTAACATCAAAATTGATTTTTTCATAGAGTCAGGTAATGTTAACATACTCTTTGCAGAAACAATTTTTTTCCACTTCTGAGCAAACCTGGATTTTTCATATGTCCCTTGCCCAGCCCTCCACTTTCATACCCAGCCAGCTTGGCCAACTTCATGGCTTCAGCTGCTTTTATATTTTTGAGCTTTTTTGAGACCTTCCTTTACCACCATGTACACATTAGAAATTTTTATCCACCATTTCCTCTTTCGGTCATATGGAGTGAAACTAGCGAGTGGTCCAGAAACACTCATTTCCTTTCGTGTTACACCAGCTGCTAGTATCACCTCCTTTATAGCCTGGCTGTGTTCAACGGTGTGTTTTTGCCTCACGTGGTGAAAAAGGTTTGTTTTTTCCTCCTTTACCTCCTTTTCCTTCTACTCTTTTATATCACTTAAAATAGACGAGTGACCATTTCTGTCTTATGCCTTTCCACTCTTCTCTGTTTGTGATCATATTTGGCCAACAGAGATTTTCATTCTCAAACTTTAATTGCTCAGCCAGTGAAAGCCATATGTTATGGTCCTAGCAGGGCCTCCTGAAACTAATCTTGTGTGGGTGTGGTGTTTTCTCCCGCCTCCTCCTCTCTTGCTCCACCCCTCTGTCTCTCTCTCACTCTTCTCTCTCCCCAGGACACAGCTGCTGTTTGTTGGCCTTGTTTACCACCTGGGCCCAGTCAGCAATCACCTCTCTGAGGTCATATAAGCTGGGCATGAACTGGATGAGGGGAGGCAGATTTCTTTGGTGTTTCCTGTTTGTGTTTTAGGTGTCAAAAGCGGCCCTATTGTGTGATTGTCCTGCCTGTTGTCCTGCCTGTGGCGTGGAGTTGTAGGAGCAGTGGGGAGAGTAGCTGCTTCATGTGAGTAGTGTGGGCCTGTGGCCCTCAACAGCAGCAGCAGTGGAACTTGCTGCTGCTAGTGACAGGGATGGCTTGTGGGCCCCTGGAAGTACCTCCTCGTGGTGTGGACCTGTGTTCTTTGTTGTTGCAACCTTTTTCTTTTTCTAGTGTTACTGGAAAAATGGCATTGGTGGCTCTTTATGTTAAGATTAAAAACTATTTTATTTACTAAACACCTCTGTCTGTTTTCCTTTCATTCCATTCTGGACCCATTTGTTACCAGTCCCCACACACACCCCTAGACCTTTATCGTGGGGACATAACACCATATAAATTGTTTGGTTTTTTTTGTTTGTTTTTTCCCCCAACATTTGTAATTTGTTATATTTATACTCTGAGACAGAGCACATTACAGTCACTAAAACATTAGCACCATAGAAATCACATCATTTCTGCAGATTGGCTACAAATTCATTCCTATAATATAAAGCATGGAATCCAAACTATGATTGGGTGATATTGAGGAGCTCAAAAAAACATTAAACCATCATCATCAGCAATTTGTATACAAGGTAGATTTGGTACATGGACTCCTGCTGCCAAATTATGAACCTACCATCTGCAGACTTATCTTTTTACTTTCTTTCTGGTTTGCCCACTTTAGCTTGATATTGCTGTTCTTGGTGAGCAGGAACCCAATGAATTCTTCTGCTCTGGCCCATCATTGATTTGTTGGTGGATTTGTCCGTTCTCAGCACAGCAGAGCTCTAAAGAGTGATTCAACATGGTACATGAAATAGAGTTTTTTAATTGGCTAATTATTGCAAAACCTGGAATGAACTCAAATGAACTAAATTTTGTGTGCAAACTGCTGAATGAACAATGAACTTCTCATCCAGTCTCTCACTGTCTCATGTGACCCTGACATAGTAGAAAAGAGTGATAAAAACAATCCTAACTCATAAATAGTATCACAAATCTAATCCCAAAAAATGACACTTCTCGTGGTTAATAAATCTACTTTGCGGTTTTTCTTAAAGGTAACACCCGCAAACATGTCACTTGCATTTTTTCACATCACCACTAGAGGTCCCTTAACTTCAAAAATGTAACTGTAGCTTGCAGTTTGGACAAATCACCTGTGGGCTCATTTCTGGAGGAAGACACCTTCAGCGTTAGGGTCCATTCATTATCTCAAGAATATGAACGCCGAGATATCTCTTGCTGTGTGTCACTGTCCTCACAAATTAGGTGTCATAAATCTAAAGCGTGCATTATAAAACGGGGGGTGATAGGTGGGGCTCCCAGTTGAATGATAGTCTGGTTGAACTTTGATTCTGGCATCATCTTTGAAAACAGTCAGTGCTGGAAGAATCTACACTATAAGTGGATTCACAATGCTGCTCAGATCTGTTTTATTTCTCTTCACATTTTTTGTGAGTCTCGTCTCAGGGGCAGGTGTGAGTTTTATATTTCTTTGTTTTTTTAATTTGTGTATAAGTTGCATGACATTGGATACTGCACGCAAAAAATGATAGATTTTATTTGCCTTCAGTAAACAATGTTGACTACAATACAACTGAAATATATAAAATCAAAAGTGTATTTATTGAAATAATTAATCATTAATATAAATGTGCTTGTGACCAATAGGGTCAGTTTAATTCAACCAGATATCTAAAATTGTATTAAAAGTTTAGATAGATTAGATAAAGTCACATGCGATTGTGATTGCAAATGCTCAAAAATTAATACCTCATAACCTACAGATGAATAATTCTTTTCTCTTTTTAAATATTCCAAACCTGATCTTTTAGATTTTTGCTACTATTCCCAACTTCAATGCAACCACACCTGCACAGGTAAACTTTAAAAAATATATAAAAATAAATAAATAAAAATAAAACAAGCCAAATGAATGGTTAAACAAAGGAGGCATGTTAGTGGAGCTGTTTCTATTCTTCTCCTCACAGGTCCAGAGCTGTGGGGACTGGTTTCACAAACCTGCAATGGCAGATCTCAGTCTCCAGTTAATATTGTCACAAGGAAAGTGCTACCAGATGAACTCCTGACTCCTTTTCACTTCACCGGTTATAAAGAGACTTTTTATGGGAGCCTCATAAACAATGGCCACAGTGGTATGTCTTAATTATAATTGCAAGTTTATTTGAGGAAGACAGTTTGACACTATGATGTCAATTCTGGCTGTAAAAATGCAATTACCCCATCTGTAGATAATATGGATAAAAGTATAGGGAGGAGGAGGTGGTAAAATGGACAATAATAGCAACCAAGCGTCTCATGTAACAAAAATACCTTTTAAAATATGTCATGTGCAAAAGCATGTGTCATGTGTGTCATGTGTGGTCATTTGTAACTGAAATAATGGGAGCATCCATGGAAGATTGTCTAATGGTTTTTATTTTTATTTTTTAATTCTGAATTTCAGTTCAGCTAAATTTGCCTTCCAGTATACAAATCAAAGGAGGAAATCTGGTTGATGAATACAAGGCAATTCAGTTTCACCTGCACTGGGGCAAAGATGGAGGACTTGGTTCTGAGCACACAATTGATGGAGAAAAGTTTCCAATGGAGGTACAGTATGTCATAAATCAGTAGAAATATTTTGTGATTGACACTATATGTATTTAAGTAATTTTATGTATTGGATTCAAATAGATCCTAATTATTCTAATGCAGTGCTTTCTTTTATCTGTAGATGCATATCGTCCATATAAAAGAAGAATATGACTCGTTAGCTGAGGCTTCAAAAGACAGTACGGGTGTGGCTGTTTTGGGATTTTTCTTTCAGGTACTTGGTAAACATCATTTCAAAAAAATGTCCAGCATCCAGTCCAAACCAGTAGTTTAGTTAGTAGCCACAAAAAAAACAACATTTGCAAAAGGCACATTTTAAAACAGCATACAGGTATAATGTTCCTATAATAAGGAAAAATAGACTAACCTTTAAAAAAATGGCAGATTATAAACAACAAAAAGAATAACAGCAAGAGTTAAAGCTTTTCTAATTATACTGCTCCCAAATGCAAATAATCTGCTGTATTTGATTATTTATTACATAAATGTGGACCCATCAGAAAACATTCCAGAGGACTGCCTTTGCCATCAGACTGAACAACCCTCCAGCTGCTGAATGATCACATGTCCTGTATAATTTGAGCTTTAGTGTGTCTTTAAACCAAATTAGCTCCTGTATGTTGTACTAACTTTGTTTTCTTAATTATAAATTGCTTTTGGTATGACGGTTAACATTTTATTCTTTCGCTTTAGGAGTCTGAGTCTGCAAATGAGAAGTATGATCATCTTATCAGTGCACTGAAATACATATCTCAACCTAGTAAGTTATATCTTCTGAAAAATGATAATAATCTTCTTTTCACCCTCCATATAGAGTCCTAAATATGTAGCTGATTACACTAGGCTAAAGGGCATCTATTATTAGATAACACAATGTTATATAACATCCACAACAACACAGTAAAACTTTTTTGAAGATTTTTTGAGGATTAGTGATGATTGAAGTCTTTTCTGACTTTCTGACTTTATGTTCTTGTTAACATTTCATCAAACCAGAAACGAATGTAACGCTGGTGGGTGTCTCCCTGGACATGTTCATTCCTTCTGAAATTAACAGGACCAAGTACTTTCGCTACAAAGGCTCCCTCACCACACCTGACTGTGCTGAAGCTGTGGTCTGGACCCTGTTTGAAAGCACTATTCCTCTCAGCAGGAATCAGGTACCATTCCCTACATCGTACTGAATCTATAAAGAAGAGGATTGTAATGAGTTTATCCTTGAAATGTAATTTAGTGTAACACTAAGGCAACTTTTAATAACTTTTTCTTGGAAACTTTTTATAACCCCCAAATGATAATTGTAAATAGTTTCTGAATAAATTTATTTAAACTGGCTACATTTGACACTAATAAAGGTATAATCAGAATCAAAGACAAATATTAGACCAATATTAAACGTTATGGCAACCCAAGGTATTTGCTACAATAACTATAGCCACTAGATGGTAGTAGTTGGTCATTGTAAATTTGTTACAATGGAAACTTAATGTTAAAAATAACAAGAATAATTTCACACATACCTTATGGGTAAAAAAAAAAATGCAGTGTATTGAAGTGCTAATGAGGCATATACTTTACCCAAGAAAGCATAGGGACATGAAATGAGATCAGAGAAAAAGAATACAGGGCTTATATGTAATACGTAACACAAGCCTATGCTAATGTGGCTCTTTGAGTTGTTTGCTAACAAATTACAGTTGTTTCCACTGCTCCCAAATTACCCAAAAATGTATTTCAAAATGGATAAACCTTGAAATTATGCTGTCTATATGAAAAATGTGTTAATTTTAATTTATATTACTGAAACATTATTGAAATATTACACATTCAACAACCCATTTAATGTAAAACAAGTGCACTTCTTTGTTTATTTCTGTACTGGTCTCAAACAGTTATATGAAAAAACTGCAGTTATAGTAGAACAAGTATAGTAAAGCAGCAAGTTAACTTTAGTGAGACACACCCTGTTGCCTAGTTATCATTGATAATAGCTGTATTTATTAGCAAAGCGGTCTATCATAGTATGCCCCTTGCATACTATTTTTTAATAAAAGTACATGTTTAACTGCCTGTTTAATTATTTTTTTTGTTACAGCTCACTGCTTTCAGCCAACTTCTGTTTTATGATGGACAGAAAATGGTCAACAACTACAGACCAGTACAGCCTTTGAATGGAAGAGAGGTGTATTACTCCAGTGGCCAACTTGCTTTGGTCAGCTGTGTGTTGTTCACCAAGTCAGTGCTGCTGTCCAGTGCAAACTTTATTTAATTTAATCAATTTTTATGCACAAATACCCTTGTTTGTGACATCTGATGATTTTCAAATAGAAGAAGAAAAAAATTATGTAGTGTATATTTAAAAGTAAAGGGTGTAAATTCAATAGATGCTTCAAAACAACATGTATCAAACACTACATGCTTATTTGAATCAGAATATGTAAGATATGTAAGATTTTATCTACAACAAAATATGTTATTGACAAATAAGTAAATTAGTTACTTTTGGTTTTAAATGTTTCACAATGATGATCTCACTACAATTTACACACATTTTTGGGGGACATAGACTAAATGTTTAAGGATAGTTAGATTGCTTTCTTTGCACTGAATGGGACAACATATGACTTCATTGTGCTTTCAGCAGAATAGCAATAAAGAATTCTGATTCTGATTCACATATATTCACTTGTGCTGATATAATATTTCTGATAAATATCATGATGCATTCTATTACATGCTTTCCTACTGTTCTGGAAACATCTAAACTCTGACTTATGTGTTAACACTATAATGTGTATTATTAAGGTATGTTTTACCTGTCAATTCTTTGTCATTTGTAATGTCATTAATGATCAAATAAAGTCACGATTAAAGATTTCATGGCATATTCCTGTATGTTTTTTCCTGGATCATACACTTTTAATCCAAATCAGTCATGCTTTCCAATATACAAAGGACTGCTCACCAAACGATAACTTCTTAATAAACCAATTTAACCACACACGACAAATAAACCCTTTTGAATGAGAGCGGCCCTTGTGTCAGAACAGAAATACATTTCAACGTGCTGCTTCACAAGAGCAACGAACAGCAGCAATCGCCAAATTCAAAAAGTAAGATTAAACAGTCTGTTTGCTTATTTATGGTCTTTGTTAGATAAAGACTGAGCCAAGACAGCTGAACAATGTGGCTACGTGCCACACATCCACATGAATGATTAGCTTTTGAAGAGGTGAAAAGGATCAATATTTTACCAAAACACTCAAAAATTAATTAGAATTTGTATAAATCATCATCGATTTTTCTTTTCAAATGTCCTTTTCCAGTAATTATTGATCTCATGATCTCATCTGGTAAAAAAAAAAGCCTCCCAGCATAGGAGGCCAATCAAACTGCTTGATAAAAGATAATAAATACACACAAGATGTATGGTCAGTTTATCAGACATTTTAGTACACTTTGCTTCCACAGCACAGCTATTACAAGTTGTTTGATGAGCAATCATTTCTGGAACTTTTGACATTCCCTACACACATTAGACAGATAAGATACTAAGATGTAATAACACCGGGTTAAGTCAATCGAAGGTCACTAAAATTAATATTGTAACAACATTGTAACCATAACACTGCTGGCTTGTCTAGTCCCCTCTCCAATCAGATCAGGAGTGACATATTTAGCCACATGTTTCCCTTAAATTGCTCGCTGTCTGAGTGATGTGGGCTTTATAGATAATTGAGAAACTTGTTAGGAGAGATGACATCCATCCCAGCACCTCTCATTTGTAGAAATCTGGCAAAATTCATTAAACTGCCCAGAATAAGATAAGAGACAAGATAAACATTTATTAGTCCCACACATGGGAAAGTTTTTAAAATGTGACTATCCAGAATTGGGACCAGTAACTAGAGTTACAGTCTCCCATTCCAGATTGTTAATCAACCAAAGACCCAGACGGGGTTTAATTCATTTGAAAGTCTGATGCTTACCCTTGTTCCTAGTTGGAAAACTCATAAGTCTTATTTGTTATTATCTGTTGTTCACCCGGCTGGTTTCTGTCTGATTTCTCAGACTTTTTATCTGATTTAGTGCTCAGCTCAGATAAAGCAATTATTGTAGATACTAAAAATATTAGCCTCAAGATAGCATTTAGTCTATTATTAGACTCAATTGCCTTTTTAATCACACTCTAGTGTTTCTTGTTAGAAACTAAACATTTAAATTCTTTTTCTGAAAACCCTCTTTTGTCTGATCATTTCCTAATAGCATTTGCATTTACAATGATGGATTACACAGCAGTAGAAGTCTTTCTGAAAGTGCTGTAACTAAGATTAAGGGTATAATTCATCCACTGACATCTTGTCCAATACCTTGTGCTAACACAGTGCAGACTAGCTATCTGAGGGCTACTTCCAGAGAGGCAGATTATCATATTAATAATTTTACTATTTCTACTCTTTTTTACCCCAAATTAACCTTTCTGGGTTAACTTCAGTAATTACTTTTCCCAAACCATCAGCTTTAGGTATTGAAGGTACAAGGTACTTGTAGTGGTTTGAATCAGATCTATCTAATAGATCCAATAGGTGTAAATGGAGTGTCCTCTTCACACACTTAAGTTAATTATGGATTTCTGCAGAGTTCTGTGCTAGGACCAATTCTGTATTCATTATACATGCTTTTCTTAGCCATTATCATTAGAAGGTATAGCATACATTTCACTGCTATGCAGATGAAACCCAACTTTATCCATCCATGAAGCCAGATCACACACACACCAACTTAAACTGCAGGAATGTCTTTAGGACATAAAGACCTGGATTACCTCTAATGTTTTGCTTCTAAATTCAGCTAAAACTGAAATATCTCAGAAATATGGTATCTAACCAGATTTTTACACTGGATGGTATTCCTTGGCCTCCAGTAACACTGTTGGGCCAGTAACACATATCCTGTCATTTTTGACCAGGATATGTCCTTCAATGCACATATTAAACTACGTTTTAATATATATGTGTGTTTTCTTCTATTTGTGCAATATCTCTAAAATGAGAAACATCCTGTCTCAGGGCTGGATCAGGTGACCCTGAATTCTCCCTTAGTTACAGTGCAATAGGTCTAGGCTGCAAGGGGATTTCCATGATGCACTGAATGTTCCTTCTTCATTCACCTTTTTCACTCACTATGTGTTCATACACCTCTTGCCTTGCTCACAGGGGGGCATTTAACTTTTAGGATTTTCTCTGTTTTCTTTGTATTATTGTAGGGCCTTTTCCCCTACAGTACAAAACGCCTTGAGGCAACTGTTGCTGTGATTTGGTGCTAGATATATACAACTGAATTGAATAAGATGTTATTTCATTGATCTGTGTAGTCCTAAATCCTTGTTTCTTTTTTCTTTTGAGATACTGAATAAGTAAATACAGAGCAAGTACATGAAAGTGACTGAAATTTTTTTCTCATCAAAATCTCTTGACTGTATAGCAGCACTGATCAGGTGCATGACTAGCAGCAGCAACACAAGGCACATACTGAGTTTAAGAAAGTGCAAGAGGATTCTCGGACAGTTAATTTCTTTCATCCTTGGGGATGGAACCAAACCAACAGTGATGATAATAAGAAATCTAGACGCCTAAAATGAGAGAGAAACAGGAACGGTGAACTTTTCTTGACAGATTCAGATTATATCTGCCGCCGTGTTGCTCATTCTAATGCCTTCTGAGTTGTTTATATTTTATTTACAGCTGCTCTCATGAGCTCAATGGTCAAAGGTAAAACATAATTCAATTAAAGCCCTGCTGGGAGGATAATACCTACCGGTGTCATTAGGTGCTGTGCTCGTTTTTGGCCCCTTGACGCTATCTATATCACCCTAAGTACTTTAAGGACTCACTTAGGATATAATCCCATGTTGCACAGGGATAGATGGCTGATGCAAGGACAGCCTTTGGTGCAACAGTGCTGAGATAATCAGAGAGATGCACAGTCATGCTGGCCTGCTGCAAAGACTCACTGCTGTTTTTTTCAGCCTTCACAAAGGTACAACCTATATGTGTGTGTGTGTATCTGTATGTGTGAGTGTGTATGTGTATGCTGGCTGGCTTAATATTTGATGACTTGCATAAAAAGAAATTTATTGTCTGGTGTTGCATTTTGATGATCTTCTCCATTACTCTCTTTCTGCTTGTTTCTGGCTCCGTTTTCTTCTAACGAGGACATCTTTTCTCGGTTTGTGCACGCCACCCATCCCCCACTTCCTCTTATTTCACTTGGTGTGACTCTGAGGTTTGGGTTGTCGTGACAACAGAGGACACAGGCCCATCTCTATTCTGTTTGCAAAGTTTCTGTTGTTGCAAGCATATTGCACATTTGCTGCTGGGATAGGGGAAGAGCCTTGCACCACCATCCCCCACCCACACCTTGTCACAAACATGCAGGCGTGAATGAGTTCTCAGAATTATAAATGAGATACAAAGTGCTTCCTGTAATTTATACACAATGTTTTAGACTTGCAAGACAGTAATGTCTGACTTTTGAGGACCGTGCTGAGGAGCACCGCTCTCCCTTTGCTAACATAAACCTTTAAGAGCTTCAGCATCTCCAAAGTGAGCTCCCTCAATCAATAAGTCTACTTTGACTCACTTTGATCTTTTATCATTACATTGCTATTTCAGTCAATCCTTAGTGCTGCATTGGCAAAGAGCTACGAGATCATTGGTACACATCCACATAAATTATTATCAAGATCAATATCTTTCTGCTTCAGAGACTGACTTTTGTTTTAAAAGCAGTTGCCACCTCGTAAAAGTATGTCCTTAAAAGGGTTGAGATCACGCTTGGCAGCAGCGGTGCAGTCGGCCAGGACCTGGGTGTACACTCTGAATTTGCATATGTGCATGTGTGTGTGCGCGCTTGTGGTTGTGTCTGTGTGTGCAGATGTGCAAATAAACACTTAAATTAGACCTCCTAAGATAAACGACGTTAAATTCAGAGGTACTTTTAGGTTGTGAAAATAGATTGATCTGATATTTTTACTTAGTGTGAACACAAAAAAGAAATATGAAGTATAGTACAAGTACATGTTTAGGTGTGTACGAGGTAGTTGGACTAACAGCAGCTACAGGTTCATAAGATTACATACACATCAAATTTAAAAAATCTCTACAAAAAGCTGTTAATACAACTAATAATTCCTGCTTTATCTTAAGGAAATGTACAAATACTATTTCAACTACTGTGTGGTGTGTGTGCGTATGTGTGTCTTTGTGGGTGTGCATGTGTGTGTGCACATCTGCATATACTTGCATGCATGTATTTTTTGTGTGTGTGTGAGAAACTGTTGGGGCTTTTCCTGTGTAAACCACGTGGCTCAGACAGGGTTAATAAAAAGATCACGCTCACTTCTGGGTTTTCTTTCTTCCTTGGACTCCAAACGCTGGTAAGACCCTGATGACAACTTGAAAATCTGATGATCAACGTTTTTTAAACACACTAACATACTAAGACATTACTACTTCATTTCAGCCTAATTTTGAGCAAAATGTCAAGTCATTTGAATGTTTTTCTTTCTTTTTATCAAGAATGATAACGTGAATTTTGATCGTGTGTTCGGTTCAGTTTGTGAAGCCTTGCCTTTGATTAACCTTCAGTTTTCAGTATTTGCGGTGGATCGACCAGAAGCTACTTGATGTACAGTGTTGTCACCCATAAAGTAGAAAGCACTACTAAACTTTACTACACAGTGTAGTGTTTCCTACTTTATGGATGAGTATACTGTTTGCTGCAGAGGAAAGTAAAAGAAGAAACCAGACCGACTATATGAACATTTGAAAACCTGCTGAACTTCTTTGTTATTTTAACCAATAAATTTTGTATTTCTTTTTATTACAACAAATGTATTTACCAGACAAGAAAAGAACTGAATGTCAATTTTTGGTCCATTGTTAAAAAGAAAAATCAGGTAAGGAAAGTAAGAATTAGGACAGTTTATTTTCAGTTTAACTACAGCTCTTACATTTGTTACATGATTAAAACTTTTTTTCAGTTATAACAAGAGTCTCTTTATTTTTACAAAAAAATTGCTGCAAAATTCAAAATGTTTTTTTTTCTTTTTAAATAACTTATATGAAATAAGCCAGTGATAGAAAATATATACACAGGGCATAAGGCAAAAAATGGAAATGCTATATCAAAACACTGGGGAGAAAGAAATCTGTAAATTGTGTATTATTAAGGCTAAAATAATTTATCCATTCCCATCAGGTAATTTATTTAGCAAGTCAGTTCTTGTGTTTTTGTGAAAGCGCCTAAAGCAAAAATTGCCAGACAAAACATTTAGTATTTTACCTGTAATTTTCAAAATATGCATTATTGTAAATATTCTGTTTTTTTGTTGTTCATGTTTTTTTTGGGTTTTTTTTTTTTTTTGCATCAAAGGGTTTGTAAGTATCTGTTATTTCAATAAAGAAACATTTAAACAAAGGTCTGAACTCTTTTTAGTTTTGAGCATTCTTATTGATACTAACAGAGGGGTTCATTAGCTGCTTACTTTCAGTCTAAAACGGATGCAGTTAGTAGAATATAAAAATAAAATAAACTATTTTTTGATATATGAAGTGTCCTTTTAGCCATATTTTGCATAGAAACTTCTGGTTTCTCACTGCGTCTGTGACTTGGCATTTGTAGCAAACAGCTTAGCGTGCATTTTCTTCTAATCCCAGGGAAACAGCTGCAGAAAGTTTGATGGAACCAAACCTCGTTGTCCGTGAAGATCTCCCTGAAGTTGAAATTAAATTTTAGCTTCTGTACAGACATCAGTATGAAAACTAAACACCAGTCACTGTATTATAAGTGCAAGGATGATGCTTACATAGTAAAACCCATCTTGATCCATGTCACCTAAAACATATATGATATCTCCTGAACGAAAGCCGAGTTCAGCCTGTAAGACAGAGCAAGTCAAAACCAGTTTGTGTAAAACAGTAGATTAACAGTAGACTTAAACAGTAGATTAATCTTCATATTTTAAATATATAATATATGGTAATGTTACTTCACAGTGCTTACTTCACTGTCCATGTTGGGTGAGTTTTCCCATGGATCATAGTCAAATAAGGCTACCATTCGTCTAACAGCCCCACTGTCAGGGATACTGGTGACATCGCTCAGGTCTGGTGTTAGAGACATGCCTGCAGTACGAAAAGCAAACGTCCCAATGAAGCTTTCATGCTAACATAGGAGATAAACAAACACTCCACGCAGTGACAGTGGTAGTGTCTTATTTTTACAATCAGTAAATTTTGCATTCACATTTCTAAGCGACGTGCGTGATAATTTTATTCACTGTTATTTGTCCTAATATCTGTTGTAAACGTCCTGTAGGGAGGAGCTCATTGCAAACATCCTCTCACAGATCATCTCTGAACGGCCTCGTTCCAAATTATGCCACAATAATTGTTTTTCAATTATACTTCAGTTACCCCAGCAACACTGTTTTGCCAGCGTGTTACAGTAAACAGGCTAATACCTGTGTGGTCCACGGGGAGGAATCCCTGCTGCATGAGTAGATGCTTCAGATACTCATCATCCACTGGGATCTCAGCCACCATATTACTCGGCACATAGCCAGAAAGCCCGCCAGACTCACCATGATAAAACCCATCTGCGTCTTTGTCTCCAGTAACCTAAAAAAAACCAGCACCAGCAGTTACTTTTATAACTTTAGGCTTGGTTTCTGAATAAAAGAGTGTATTTATTGCATACATGTATTTGTCTGTATTTATGTGATGCAGCAGCAGACAGATTCAGAGAAAAAAGGCGGTAAATCACATCAATCAGATGAAAAAGGTGACAGGAAATGAAGAGAAAAAACCTATTGTCTTCTTACACATTTAACTGTCGTGACTCCAGCACAAACAGGAAACACTATAGGTTCTTTCAAAGAACATTTTGAACTGATGAAGAGATGAAACGCAACTCAAACACAGAGAAGCGCTTCGGTGTAGCAATGTACAGAGTGCATGAAATTACACTTAATCTTACCTTGATGATCTGGCCTGGCACAAAGGGCAGCTCTTCTGCAGCTGTCTCGTGGTTTGGCGACATGGCAGCCGGGTTGTATGGGTAAAGTGCAACAAAGAGCCGGACTGTGGGTATGGACACCTGGCTCGCAGTTTCCAGCTCCCAGTCCCTGAGATCCTCCGGAGTAGCGATCCTTACTTCATCTGGGTATATCAAAACATCCAACTCGAGCCTTGTCTCCATTTACAGCAAAGTGAGTGCTCGACTGTCCACCTGGCAGACAGATGGCCACTGTGGACAGCAGACCTCTCCTTAGCCTCAACCTAATGTGAGGTAACTAAGCTAAGCACAAGGAACAGTAATCCTCTTTGAAGCAAGTAGATAGATTCATTAGTTCAGCACTGCCAAACTGCACTGTGTGCAAAGCAACAGGAGCACAAGATGAAATAACTTTAGTTTTAATGCAGATATTTGAAAAGCAAAAATGCTTCCAAATATACTTGAAAGGAGAAGTACAAAAGTAGAGAAAACAGACCTTTTTAAAAAAATATTTCTTAATGACACATAGATACGTTTAACTGTAGCTCTGTTCGTAATATTTATTTTCTTTTATATACTTTCTTTTGCATTGGTCCTCGTCTCATAGGCCTCGCCAGAGGTACTGGTGGGTTTTATCTGGTTGCTCTGGTTTTCTTCTGAAGCGTTGCAACTTATTTTTTTTTAAGTAAAACAATGGTTCTGGTTGGAGAACAAAGCCCTTTATCAGTGTAAGTGTGAATAGTTCAGTGTGGCTGGTTGTGTACACTGTAGAGTGTATAGTGTATATGTGGCTCTGCTTCCTTAAACTATCAAGCCTTGCTCAATTAAGGAAGTAGCCTTGTTTTCTTGTTTCGTCTTATTGCTCCTCCTCCTCCTGACATGACCCAGTTTTCATCACTGAAAGTCGACACTTCCTTTCTTCACCTGTGGCCAAGTCAGCAGGTGATAATCTCCTCCAGCAGAGATTATCAATCATCTGTGTGTTTGTTGAAAAAATGGTAAGGCAGAAACTGAAAACACATCTGAGCCATTGCTGCTGTTTACTCTTCCAACCATTAACTGGCACTATGTTGTTTGAATAACTGAAAGTTGTATCTGAGGAAGTTGAGGCTGAGTAGCTTCAGGTGTTGTTGATTTTATTCACTTCATTAATTTTGTTCAGTTTTTGTTTTTTTGTTTGTGTATGTTTTGGACTTTGAGAAATGCTTTTCTGTAAAGACTGAAGAATATTATCTTTCTTTATGTATTAACTGCCACTATTCATTACTTCAGCTTACTCAGCCCTCATTTTCCCATGATTCCCCATCTGATTTATTTTGTCTCGCCTTTATTTGACAGGACAGTGTAGAAAGTAAACAGGAATGAAGCGAGAGAGAGGGTGAAATGCAAAAAATGGTCTCGGATGGACTCAAACCTCAACCAGATGAGCTAAACTGGTGCCCAATTATGTTTCAGTTTTACTGCTGAGAGACAAAATCTGTGTTTTAATGTTGATGATTAAAAGAAGAACCAGCGAACATGTGCACTCACTGCTTTTTGTCCTCTTCAGTTGTTAGTTAGGCTTTTCAAAAGTCAGTTTTCATTCAGACAGTCATTTGTTCTCATATGCCCTCTTTATTATTTTTGCTCTTTTGGATCATTTTGTTCTTACATTATGAGCCAAGCAGGCTTTCCAATTAACATCTTTGATTATTTTGAGTTAAATGCTTCAGGTTCTGTTACTTGCTTCCAAAAGATTATATGATTAGTTTGTCTGTTTATCTGTTTGCTAGCATGATCAGCTAAAGAAAAGCCACAGACAGTTTTAGATGAAATCTTTACCAGAGATAAAGCTAGCCCTAACATAGATTCTTTCCCAATAAGAAATAGAGCATAACTTGACAAATACACATTAAACTGAAATAAGAAATGTTGGTAGACATCTCCTTCTTGTTATCACGAAATTATCAAAAACAAATCTGGACCCAGGGACCAGGTTGACTGTTGGTGATATGTGACAGAATCTTGTTTTCTTACCTAACAAAAGAACCATTTTTAATAATTATTAATCAGAAAAATCTACATGGAGGTGTAAAGCAGGTTCAGGGAGTTGGTGCAGTCTATTCAGTATAAATCAGCATATCAACCACACCCCACTACTCTGCAGAGGGCTATGTATGATTAGTAGGTTTTATTTTTGATTTGGTTTGGATTATTTTTGCATTTTTACTGGAATACTACAATTTTTCTCGCATTTATGAAATCATGTAACTACAATAATGAAGTTTGTTTGCTTTTTTCTCATTACACATCCTAATAGATGGAAAAGAAGGATGTATAGGCCAAGTTTATGTAGCTCTAAAGATATAAATAAATAGATTAATAAGAAAGAAAGAAAGAAAGAAAAAAGGAACGGTTTTCTTCGTTCCTTATTTCTATGGATGCCTAAGATTAGGTCATTTTTGTATTAAATTTTGAATTAAACTCATTGTTTGTATAACAAAAATATAAAAGAAAAAACACCAACTTGCTAACATCATTTAGTTCGTTTAGCCAAACTGACCACTCACCCCTGGAGGGGGCCACATGTGCCCACATGTGGCTCCAAAGTCACAGGCTTGAGACCTCTTAAAGGATTTAATAAAGCAGGCTCCAAAAATTACTCTTGGTTTCAGTGAGCAACAAATTGAAAACATTTCTCATTCTCACTTGTTCTCTTGTCATTTTTTATGTTTGCCCAGAAGAGGGAGCTGTTGCATGTTTCTAAGTATAATAAAGAGTCTGTTGTAAAATTAGTCAGTTTAACAAATTCATGTGACATCAAAGTTTTAGATACATATTGACTTATAGGTACATACACAGACACCTATACTAAGAACTGCTGTCCTTATAAATGCATATCACTCTAAATTGCATATAAATGTACTTGCCCTTCTTTTATTCAAGTGTGGAGAGCTTGCTGTAATTAAAATCATAACTTTGGCAAGCCACTCTTCATTTTGTTAATACTTTTACCAGTGTAGCAAAATACAACAATTTAGTGCATTTTATATGAAAACTGAGTGTGTGTTCACAATACTCTCTTAGCTGTGTGCTCCAGTCATTTCAGGTGTGACCCAGTCTCCTTGATTGGAATCTGATATTGATGTTAGCTGCAAAACACGTAAAGGTTAGTAGGCCAGCTACTAGGTTAGGTCATTAGCAAATGGTAGGGTCAGCACATAAGCCAGGAGAACTTTAGGGTCAACATTGATTCATTGAGAGAAAAGTTTGATTTTGTCTAATGTGAACATGGTTTTCCTGTTTATGTAAAAGAGCAGAATCAACTTTCTGCGATATTGTGTCAGAAGTTTTGGATTGCACTCTCAAACGAAATAAAATGGAATTCCTTATCCTGTTATAATAAGTCAGTACCTTATAACCATAAAATAGAAACCATCAAAGCAGGTGGCATAGTTAACGGGGGTTAGTAATATCATCTCAGAGCAAGAAGGTTCTTGGTTTGAACTTGCCCCTTGGCTCAGGCCTCCCGATATTTTCCCTGTGCCACAGACCAAAGATATATGGTTAAGCTAGTTAGTGACTGACTATAAATTTGCCGAAGGGTTGGATTTGACTGTAAATTATGTCTGGTTTTCTATGTTTGCCCTGTGTGGAATGGTTCCTTGCCTCTTGGCCTGAGAGCTGGCTCCAATCCTAATTTGGTTAAGTTGTTAAGAAAATGTATGGATGAAGGTTATAAAACCTTAAACTTGAGCTTTCTCATTAAGCCCTTGCTTTTGCAGCTTTTGATTCAACCTTTGGACAAAAAAAGCCTGTCTCCTGTTAGATTCTGCAAATCTGTTTGTATTAATATCATTTTTCTCTATCTATCTAGCACCACTGGCTAACCCAGAGCTAATCTCCCTCTTTACAAGTGTAGATTAATTCAAGATGAAAAGTTGCAACAGCATTTTGAGAGAAGGATGTCCAACAGAAAAGAGCGTGTAAAAATTTTAAAACACTTTTACAAATAAAACTACCAAAAACTAGTAGGTTAAGAGAATGCTGTTGAACTGCTATGCTTGTAGTGCAGAGATGGTGCATCTTTTCTATATTGTCGAAAAAAAAAATACTATCAGGTAAATATTACTACCTGATAGTATTTGTTCCCGTCTTTGTTCTGTATGGTGTCATTCGTGTTTTAAATTGGAAAAAAACTGCATAGACCAAAAGAGAAGAGAGACATATAAAGGCAAACCACTAGTTGTACTGACGTGGTTTTAAAATCATTTACATTAATAAATGCCAACTACAACAACAAAAAAATGTTTTAAGGGTGTAATTGTTACCATAATGGTCAGACCAGTCCAACATAAGGGCATTGTAAAGGGCACAGCATTTCTTGTTTTTCATCAGAAGGGCTGTTCACCTTGTGTTCGTTCACTGCAAGAGCACTCATCATGGCATCATGTTCTCTCACACGTGACAGCACCCTAATAATCACTAATCGTGTTTTTACTCGCTTGAAATAGCACCCAGTTCTGCACTTAGGCATGTTAGAGGCACAATGGATCACATCTTTTCCACTTCTTCTTCATACCTCCCCCATAATTACAACAGCAGCTCATATGACACTGCATTGCATCTCCTTTATTTAAAGGCACTTTATCATGCTGCCTTGTAGGTGAGTGTAGTTACTGTCCATATTCTACCAATGTGAGTGCAGTCAAGAGGGCATTTAATCCTGTATTAAACATAAATAAGATGAATACTGGAGGGCTTGATGTGCTTTTTCCCTTGATTGGAACTTTACAAAGCTTTTTTTATGCTTGAGTCTCACTCTTACTACACTTTATTGAGGTATTTCCTCTCCTTGGGGGAAGAATTGGCCAGTGAGCAATGTCATCAGTCATTACCATGCTGTGTCATGGTGACCACCTTCCCTGCCAGACCACAAATGTAATTACACCTACCTACAGTGATAGCTTTACTGATTTATCTTGCCTACAGTTGCCTATTGTGCATCTACAAGCTGCTTTGCAACCCACCTGCACCTCATCTCCTTGTTTTCATGTTGTGCCTGACTGAATAAAACCAATCTGTTATCAGTGATGCCTGCTTTGTTCTGTATGGTGTCACTCATGTTAAAATACCCTTTTCTTTGAAAGACCTCTTTACTATGTTTGAAGCTTTGAAATGTGATTATTTGATATATAGTGTAGCTTTCTTGGACGTTACTGGTTAAAGAACAGCGCTTTCTAACCAAGCTGGCTAACTTTGGCTGATAACTCGAAATCTTGTCCAAATATGGTAGCTTCAGACTCTGACCATCTTAAACAGCTGGCAAATAAAGGAGGCCAAAATGCTAACGTTAAGGTTTCAAAATGGAAAGTTCAAAATAATAGGGTAATGTGATTATAGTGGATAAATTCATCTTCATCTGTGTTTGGATCAAGCATTTAGTGCAGAGATGGCGAAGTGTGGATGCAGTGTATACATCACAAACCTTTGAAGTTACAAAACTGACTTAAAAAATAGTGTCTACATAATAATGTTAAAGTCATGTTTGCTGAAATTAAGGCTAACAAGCAAGGCTGTGAACCTGTGTACTCATTGGTTAATGGCTTGTCAATAAATGTAACCTGGATGTCCCACCTTTCTGACACTATGACCAGAATTTTCAAAATGGACTTAATTTTTTACAAGTATGACCCAAAACTAGTGACTGTGGCAATAAACTCACTGGAAAAGTGTTTTCTTTGCTTAGTTTAGGGCAAAGGGCTGGGTTTTGTTTTTTGTTTTTTCTTTGTAGGCTTCTGTTTTGCAGCCAAAGCTATCGCACCCTGGAGGCCTCTAAAAAGAATGCAGTTTAAGGCACTGCAATGACTTCACTTTTCAGTCCCAGAAGCTACACCCATCTTTTATATTGTCTATGCTTGCAATACAATGGCCTCAGCTGTGTGATGTCAAGATGCAAGATACAGCTGCACTCCACCTTTTCATTCAAGTATGGGCACTATACTGGATCCGAAAAATTAACATAACAGCACGGAAAATACACAGTCCAAAACCGGTGGGTGACGTCACCGCGGTATGTCCATCATTTATACAGTCAGTGCTTTAGGTAGGCCTTTTTGTCGCTCTGCTGGGGACCCCATTTCCCATAATTCATCTATAGCTCACCTTTGCTCCCATCCATCCATCCCCATAGGCCTGGCCCTCTACTTCCCATGTATGGAGTGTTACATCATTGGCACAGACACCCACCTTTTCCAGTGATGACGCAGCCCGAGAAGAGTGTGTGTGTGTGTGTGTGTGTGTGTGTGTGTGTGGTGTGTGTGTGTGAGGAGGAGGAGGAGGAGGGGGGAGAAGGAGAAGGAGGAGGAAAGGCAGGGAGGGAGGGAGCGAGGAGAGAGGAGAGGGTGTCCCGTCTGCACGGAGCTCAGACAGACAGCAGGGAACAGCTGCAGCATTAGGTTCGCGTAGGATTTCACTGCATTGCGATTTAAAATTTAAGTAATTTCTTTCCCCAAACTTCACGTAGAGCAGCTCGACAAAGCAACCAAACATCATCTAAAAAATGGTTGATCGCGAGCAGCTGGTGCAGAAAGCCAGGCTGGCTGAACAGGCTGAGAGATATGATGACATGGCAGCTGCTATGAAATCGGTAAGTCAATTCAAAATAACAGTAAAATAGAAAAAAAAGAAAGATGATAACTGTGGCTTACATGTGCGTGAATATCGGTGTAAAGCTGCTGCGTTTGCGTAAAGGCTCGCCCTGCGTAAAGGCTCGCAGCTGTAAAGCTGCGGTTACAACTGGCTCTCGATATTACAGCACTACATCTGGGGGTCATTCTGAAATAACGTTCATTGTGTTTATTGTGCTGTCGCCAGTTCACTGACAGCTCAGAGGCTTTTTTTTTCTGATTCCCGTCCAAATCGGCTCCTCCTTGGGCGGTGCCTTTCTATCGGCCGTGCCGCTCATTGAGGGCGCGTTACAATGAAACGCATGCAGGCCCGAGCTTTCACTCTCAGGCTAAGAAGACTCGAATCGTGGAACGGCTCTGCTCTGACACATTTGCTGATTTCCTTTTTTTTCTCCCCTTCTTTCACCACCACACCTCCCATTCCTCCATTATGCTGAATTTCTAAGAGCTTCTGCTGCTGGGAGCCATGTGAGGTTGCTCAGGAAAAAGCCTATCAACTGCTCTTGCCCCCCCTTCTCCTCGTCCTCTTCTCCTCCCACTCCTCCTCCGCCGCCTCCTCTCCTCTCTCTTTGTCACATAAATTAAAACAATAAGAATGATGGCGATCATTTTAATGTTTCTACTCGAGGCTTGGAGGATAAATTGGAGCATGATTGCTTTGGACAAAGAAAAAGCTTTCATAAACTAAACGCTCTCCTCCAAACAAACGTAGGAGGCAGCAGAATCTCTCTAGAATATTCTTTGTCATATTGCAGTGAGTCAGTGTGGTCAGATTTGATTACAGGAATTTCCTTCCTATTTATTACTTTATTTGTCAGATATCACCTTCTGTGCATGCTGCTTGTGTATCAAGGGCTGATATCTGGTAGCATTTTAATGCCATTTTTGGTTAATGACCCTGGTTAATGGTGTAATATTTGATGTGAAGAAGATGACATGCTGGCCTGCCTCACTGTAGCTTTCTCAGCTCTTAATGGATGGTGCTGAGGACAGAGCCTTTGTCTGCCTTTTTTTTTGTTTCTCTGGCCCCTTAAGAAATTCTGGGAAGTGGATTCAGTAACAGGTTTTTAAAAAAAAAAACTGCTGTGTCACACCAGCTCATACTGGAACCAGCAACATCCCGGTAGTCTCAGCACAGCGTCCGTGAGCTCACACACGGATTAAAATCATCCCACACTTTTTAAAACGAGGAACATTTTGCCTTATGCGAGATGGGTTGAGCCCCCGTGGAGCACTTGTCATCGAGGGTTTCTGGTTGCAGGAGGTGGGATGATGTGCGTGCAGGGGAGGGATTCCTTTCTCTTTAAGCAATCTGCCATGTCAGTGCGGTCCAAAGTGGGCCCTTTTGCAGGGGTGTGTACTCTCCCTCTCTAATCGAAGGGAATCCCTCGCGTTGCAGCCAGAGAAGACAAATGATAGGCTGTCACCGTTGTGTTCCTCATGAAAAATGTAGGCAGAAATGTGAATAATTACAAGAAATGCCCTTCAAAAGTTTCCCAACCAGTGCTGATAGACAGCCCAAAAGACAGAACTGGCACAGAACTCTTTTCACAGCTGATCTCATTTTTGCCTAATAAAACATTTAAACGACTGATTGATAACTCTGTATCAACCTCAGTCGTTCTTGTCTTGTTTTATGACCATGTTATCAGCAATGAGGTATTTGTTTTATTTTGTACATATATAATAGTATAACTATACTTATATATAGTGTACTAGTGTAGTTCCAGTTGGAAGCATCACAATAATTAGAGCAGTGACCTGTTTCCTTTCTTTTTACAACAAAACCCCCCCACATAGGTTGAGTCATCAGATTAGCAGTAATCTACCTCATTTGACTGTTTTGTGTGTTTTTCATCTGCAGTCTGATGGTATCACTGGGTTTGTGTGACAGTTTTGAACAAGCAGAGCAAAGTCCACTCAATCCCTATGAGTTGAGAGCTTTGCTCTCCATCGCTGTGACATCAGCGAGTCTGCGCCATGTTTGTGCTCCTCTGCCTGAGCAGAGAATGTCAGACCTGCTCAGGAGAAATGTTTGCACAAAACGAAAAGCTTTTTGAGTAAAACCTGCAAAAAAAATTGCAATAAGCTCTTTCTTCTTTTCTTGGTGAAAGGTTATGATAAGCCTAAGCACCATGTTTCGTACCGATTATTGATCTGCAAGAGGCCATGTACCGGCACAAACTATGTTTCCAATATAAAAGCCTTGAGTTACATAACCCAGTCTCTTTGAGGACTGCCCGGCCAGCATTCGGATTCATCAAAATCTCAAATTAACAGCCTAACTCAGAGTGATGTCACCGTGTGGTGTTTTAGACAGGTAAAAAGGTCAGTTTCAGTTGGGGAGAAGGTCACTGGGACATGTGAACCGCCTGAGCAGTGATGGTTTTCATTTACAGTGCAGCTGCCCCCGAGTGCTCGTGGGAACATTTTAGCCATCTCCAGTCCTCCTTTCCTCTCCCAACCCCCCACTGCTGCCAACTATCTTGAATATCATTTCTCACTAACTAGCATTAGCTGTCCACGTGGCAGCTGAAGCTACTGGTGCACTAAATGAATGGATTGCCATGGAAACTGGAATTGCACATGACGTGAAATATTGCTCATCTTCTTTGCTGCGGATGGCCCCATTAACCCAGGTTATTTCATGCAAAAGAAGCCCGAGTTGTAGCAATTAGGACTGCAACTAACAGCTGTTTTTGTTATTGGTTGATCTCTACATTTGTTTAGTCTTTAAAATTAAAAATTTCATGGAGTTCTATGCTTCCATTACAAACCACTAAAGAGCACAAAATCACCCTGTTTTGAGAAGATGCAACCGTTAAACAGCAACAGCCTTGTCATTTTTACTAAATCATATTACTGACTTCTTGAGGTCATTTCTTGGATGAAATGTTCTTGCTTTAACTTTTTTTTTTCCACAAAGTGAATGTAGTCTGGTGCTGTTATTTAACAGTCCATCTGCTTCTTCTTCTTTTTCTTGTTCTTCCAGGTAACAGAGCTGAACGAAGCCCTGTCCAATGAAGAGAGGAACCTGCTGTCTGTGGCCTACAAGAACGTGGTGGGTGCCCGTCGCTCCTCCTGGAGGGTGATCTCCAGCATTGAGCAGAAGACCTCGGCCGACGGCAATGAGAAAAAGATTGAGATGGTGCGGGCCTACCGGGAGAAGATTGAGAAGGAGCTGGAGGCCGTGTGCCAGGATGTGCTCAACCTCCTGGACAACTTCCTGATCAAGAACTGCAGTGACACGCAGCACGAGAGCAAAGTGTTCTACCTGAAGATGAAGGGCGACTACTACCGATACCTGGCTGAGGTGGCCACGGGAGAGAAGAGGGCCACCGTGGTGGAGTCTTCAGAGAAGGCCTACAACGAGGCTCACGAGATCAGCAAAGAGCACATGCAGCCCACCCACCCCATCCGCCTGGGCTTAGCTCTCAACTACTCTGTGTTTTACTACGAGATTCAAAATGCCCCCGAGCAGGCCTGTCATCTGGCCAAGACCGCCTTCGACGACGCCATCGCTGAGCTCGACACCCTCAACGAGGACTCCTACAAAGACTCCACTCTCATCATGCAGCTGCTCCGAGACAACTTGACACTGTGGACAAGTGACCAGCAGGATGACGAGGGAGGGGAGGGCAACAATTAAAAAGAAACCGCACTTCGAAAAAAAAAATATGAAGGGCCGGTGGACTTTGGCAGCCGCTTTTGCCGATGATACTACCGCAGCAGCAGTTCTTTATTTTTCCATGTGTTAAAAGAAAAGAATCAAAAGAGAGGTGAGAGTGGAGGTTAAATCTTAGTTTAAATATATATAGAAATATATATACAGTTGAAAGGGGCCTCCGTCTTCTTGATTTTCTCTTTGACATTTGCCAAAACCACTGATATGTCAGTCAATCAGCCTGAAGTGGTTGTTGTTGGATTGAAATGGCAGCCTCACACTGGCGTAGGAACTGAACTTGTTCTGTCAAGATAAGCTGCTTAGTTAGGTTTTTGCGTGATAGAGATGCATTTGAGTCACTTGAGAGAGAAAATGCTTGAATGGGAATGCCTCACAAAACTAGTTTGCATTGGTTCCAGTAGTAGTCTACGTAAGAGAAAGAGCCCTGAAAGCCACTGATGCTTTAAACTCACACTAGCAAACAAAGAGAAAGTTTCAAACCAGTCAAGTCCCCCAAATTTTAGAGGTTAAATTAGACGGGAGTGAAAATATCTGAGGATTGGTTAGTTAAATTTAATTCCCCTCGTTCTATTAGTCCGTTTTGTCGCTGGAACCATCGATTCCTTTGGAGGTGAAGATTACTAAAAGGCAGAGACTTAACAAAATAAAAAAAAAAAAAAAAAGACAAAAAATACAAAATAAAAGCAGCTTCAGAGTTTGTGGTTTACTTCTGTGTTTGTTTTATTAAATGCACTTGCCTACTATACTGTTTCTTCAGTGTAAGATGATGACAACAATAATATCGATTATTCAATATTGTGCATGCCGGTGATGTATTTATATACAGTAGCTTGACTTTATTAACTTATACTGTGGGTGTTAAGTATTCATATGATTGAGAAAAACAGGCTTTGTCTGATGTTGATTTCTAATTTATTTCATTTTGTTATGGTTTTTGATTTGCTATACCAAAATGCTGATCGTAAAAATTGACCTGTAATGGGCGTTGCTATAGTGACATGCAATATGTGTATTTTAATTTGTTAATGAAAGAAAAAAAAGGAAGATAAAAACCCACCAGTGATCACCTAATCTTATCAGCTGGTGTTTGTCACATTGAAGTATGATTATGATATATTTTGTTCTTTGAACAGTATTTAAGTACTTTTTTCTGTCATGCTATCCAGTTTTAATAATGGTGAAGTTTCCAAGCTCAATGTTTCTGTTATGAATTCACAGACATGGACCATATTTTATTTCTGACAGTATACATTTTTTTTTGTTTGTTTGTTTTTATACTTTTTAGCTGTTCCTGAGTGACAAAATATCTTGAATGTGAGTCATTATGTAGCAGTTGCACAAGAACCGAAATAATAGCTATGATAATAAAAAAAATATGACTAAATTATACATGCACCATTTCCGTGGTGGTCTAGTGTATTGTTGTATCGTCACCCATAAGTAAATTTGTTCTTAAAGAAAACCATTTCATAGGAAAAAAATGTTTCACTATTGTTTTGTGCCCTGAGTACAGTACTGGCTTCTTTTTGTGCGTGCCTGTATTATTTAAGATGCCTCGTTTGCAAGTTGACCTTTAATGGGGGGAAAAAAAAGGATTTATCTGCCAGTATTTTACTTTCCTGCAAGGATGTGTGAAAGATAATATTTTCCCTTCAGTGTTTTCTCATTTTCACGTTTCTGCTGTCTGTACAGCACATGGGTATGAATAATCATCACCAACAGTCACAGGGAGAGCACAGTCAGTTCGCTAGTGTTGGTTATCGATTAGCGACTACACGTCTTCAGAACAAACTTTAAATAAACACTTAAAAGCTGCTTAAGAGGACAGAAAGCTGCTGAACGGGTTTACAGTCACAATGCTGCTAGTTCTTTAGAGTATTAATATATTCACACAGATGGAAGTTTAGTTTTTTCTTAATGCATGGCAGGTTGGGAGACCTTTTTTATTTCAGATGTGACGACTTGAGAGAGAAACCTAAAGCCTTAAGGTCAGTCATACAACCTTGTTCATGTATGCCGGTTATGTCACCATCATGAGTCAGCCTCCATGAGCTCACACTTTATGTTACAGCTGCTTTGATTTATTTTTAACGCAGTTTAAAAGTTGACGGCGCTGAAAAACTCGCCACTCAAAAAGCATGAAATCCTAATCGGCACAACTGCTCACGCATGTCACCGATATTAAAATGGAGTTCAGTCCTTTGCTTTAATTTTTAAGTGTTGTGTGTGGAAATGAGTAGAAAGGGAATTTTGTCACTTATTTTTGTTTGGATATTTTTCAAAGACTTTCACTCATTGTCAAGAAAACATGCATTGTGTTCTCTTTTTAAATTAATTTGTTTTATTTTCCCAGTGCTTTGTGTTTTTCTTTTTAAGTTTTCATTATTTGGCAGTTGATCTTTGTTTTTATGACATGAAAACATGCAGAAATTACAGATAAATTACAAATTTGATTAAAAATAAAAGAGCTGAGCTGCTGCAAATTAGTCAGAGTTGGGGGTCAGGGGTTGATTACTGAAAACAGTACAAATTGTATCCTCTGAGGAATTTCTGGTTGCCATCTGTTGCCCATTAAAGTTATTTGTTTATCAGTATTATTCTATATTTTTTTCTTTTTGTCTGTTACACTCATGCCAAAACCACCACAGCTCATTCTTTTTCATTCCAATACTCAACATTTCTGCCCACACATTAATACAGGAAACCAGTTTGACCTTGTATAACCTTTTGTGGGTCACATAACTGGTGCGTGTATGTGGTATGTGCAAGTGTTTGCATCCATATCTTGGTGAGTATGCGTGTGTATGCAACTGTGCTGTTCCATGTGCTGAACTTATGAGATGGAGTCTGTATTAGCTGCAGTGCAGAGATGCTGCCAGCACATACAGCTTACTGCAGTATGTCTTACATGAGGCTCTTTTTCAGGCCGCTTTGCTAATCATTAACTAAATTAGGCCATAGATCAAAGAATATTTCTTGAAAAGATTAGAGGTTTTATGACCGCAGCAATAAAACAAAGTCCTGCATCTAATGTTGGGCAAGGATGGAGAATCACCATCCCTTAGGCTTTTAAATTCACCTCCCTGTTGTATTTTTTGACACCCAAAGGTCGAGTTTATCTGAGCATTTATGCACATCTGTCAACCCAATGTCGCTGATAAAGCTGCTGGCTCGCCCACCCCCGGACTGCAGCCTCTCGCTGCAGCTTGCTGCACTGAACCTTTCATGAGATGAAATTCTCTGCTTTGAAAGGTCCTCTTCACCAGCCAATAGCTGACAAGCTTACTCTCTGCAGTCACCAATCCTATTCCTGTTGCTAGGGCTATAATAAGTACCCCACTAGCAGCCCAGTACCTATTGCATCCTGTAAAAAATGAAAGCTCAGAGCGCACAGGAGGCATTAGGATTCAGCACCAACCTATCTTCATGCTGGTGCTTCAATGCACTCAGTGCCACACTTTCAGGGACACCGGTGTCACAGTTGTTGGTAAATGCTGCTGACATTATGCATCCCAAAACACTCTGGGGCCTGCTGATGGACGTGTAATTGAATCTCCAGTAGCTACAAATTCAATTTAGTACCACTCATGGCAAATTCTTTCAAATCTGAATAAAACTCAATAGTTTTACATGCATACATATACATATAGTTTTCCATACATATATGTTCATTTAAATTAGTTATTTACATTAGGTATTAAAGGCCCTATGCACGGGAAACATTTGTTTAACTGTGCATCACTTCCACATCCACAACAACTGCTTTGTCATTACAGGAAGTATCATTTCCCTGATGAGTCCAGGATGACGATGCAGTTAGGTATCATCGAGCCATTGTCATGCCATCAAAATGTCTTTTAAATCACTGAATCGTTATCATCAACAGAGGGCCACAATTAGATTTCCTGAGACGTTTCTGGTGATACAAAAGAATGTATACCTTTGATGACGGATTAAAAATAAACTTTGGAAGTCAGGCTTGTAGTGATAGGGGCAGGTTATTTTTGTCCTCTCTGAATTTCACAAGCTCTTTCAAGGTTGTAGAGAAGTAGCTGTCTACACACTTATTTAGATTATGTACGTGACGCATAGAAGAGGAAACTGAAAGTACAGACACTGAATTTAAAGACATTTTATAAATATGCTTATATGTCTTATTTCACCATTCTCATCTCTTTCCAGCAAATTAAAGCGAAAGAGTTAGCCTAGCGCTATCTTAAAATAACTAAAACTCCCTGCACTGCACTCCCAGTGTGTCCAGTACCTTGGATATTTTTAGTACATCCTTGTGGTATAGGATTGTTTGCCCTGCTTGTGCTGTTGGCCATGAAGTTAAAATAATACAATGCTTTTACAAGGTGCTTTACCTTATAAAAGTAGGCACATAAATGCTTTAAACAGGTGATTTTAGCCCCTCTCTAGGTGGTTGCCAGGCAACCTGATGGCATTCTCGTATGTCGTTGTATTGCAAGTTTTGTGGATGTAAATCAAATGTTACTGTCATGAAATGAGAAACAATGCAATTCTTTTGTATGTAACATTTTCAGGTAAATAAATACTCACACACATCATTTTAGCCTGATAATATATATGATTGTTGGGAAGCACTAATGCAGCAAGGTGTTCGCAGGTTGCCTCTGTGGTGGCCATCTTGTTTTCCCTGTAAAGAGGAGGCCGCCTCAGTTGCAGCTCTTTTATAGGCCAGTCTGAATTGAGAAGGTGTGGTCTCTATTGTATTTAAAGCTGGCAGGAAATGCTGTCTGTATGTGCAAGATATTGGCAAGAGACAATAAAGTAATTACTTCGGTTAAGATAGAGTGATGTCTGATGTTTTCCTCACCACACCTCTCTGCGTAACAATGATATAGATAAGAACCTTGGGTGGCCCAAGATTTACCTGTGTGTCAAGTCTGGTTGTTTAATTCCTGATAGGAGTTAGTGGACAAAGAAACAGACAGACAGACAGATTTGGTGTATTATAATAGGAATGCTTGATGGGAACAAGAACAAAACCATTTTTAGACTTAAATGTGTAAAGCAGCAACTTCAGGGACTAACAAACACAGAAGAGACGCAAATGGCAGCTCTTGGCGTAGACCCTTTGAAGCCAGCTTTAAAACAGACTCAGTCCACACAGACACTCGTGTTAAAATTCCAAATTAACCAGCACTAAATTGCATGTTGGTGATGAGCATTTTTTTTTTTACCTTATCCATTTGAATATTAATTAAGGCTTAAAGTTAGGGATGTTGACCCTTTTGATTGACAGGTGTGCTGGCACAGGCTGCTGTAGCCAGTCACTGATTGGTAAGGGTTGCTCTGATAATTCCAGCAATCTAACAGGACAAGAAAAGTCAGGAAATTTGTGAAGCTGTGTTTTTTATTTTTTATTGTTGTTGTTTTTTAATCAGATTTGACTGGTGATTCAGGTTTTTATGTCTGTATATAAATACTGAAACTTAAGTTAATTTAAAAGATAACCTGCTAAACGTGTACCTGGAGGCTGCCAAGTGCAAACACATGCACAGAAGGATTTTTCTAATAATCGTGACTTTTATATTTTTAGTTACTAATGCAATTAAAATATGAATGGGATTAATTGGCAGGTTTTCTTGTTGACAGGAAACTCCAGTCTGTCTTAGCTCAGGTAAGGTTTTACACTACTTTTCTTAAACATCAAGAAAACACCAGTTTCTCAAAATCTAAAATTTTGGCTTTTGATACCTTATGCAAGACTTACGGCCTTGAGAAACAAGACTTTTTTCCAATACTTGCAATTCCATGACTATATTGGCAAAAGAATAAACAGCTGTGTCCCTGGAGACTTCTTGATTGTTAACATCTTCATTGACGCTTATGACTCCGGGAGTAACAAAGCCCTGATAAGTAAACTGTACAAATGTATGACTAAGCTCAAAAGGGACTCGACAATTTACATAAAACAGAAATGGGAAAAAGAAATGGGCATTGAGATTACAGAAGATGGGTGGACACGGATTTGGGAAACACAGTTTACCACAACTAACTCCAACATGTGGCGGGACTTTTGTTGGAAGAACATTATACGCTTTTTCATAAGACCTAAACAAAAGTCTAAATTCAGTGCTACACCTGCGCTTTGTTGGAGAAATTGTGGGGAAGTCATGGCAGATCATGGACACATATTCTGGTCCTGCCCATCCATATGACCCTTCTAGACGGAAGTTGCAAAAATAATCACAAAGGTACTGGGATTCAATGTGACATGTACATTCGTATCATTGTATCTGGGATATTTTGCAGAAGATTTAGTTACAGACGATGTTTATCTCCTGAGAATTTTCTTGGCATCTGCGAAAAAGGCTATAACAAAACGCTGGCTTTGTAAAGACCCTCCCACTATAATACTT